GAGCTGAGACAGGACCCAGGTGTCCTGGTCCCAGGGCACCCTCCTGTTCTAACCCTCCCCCACACCCCCCAGATCATTGCCTACCAACCCTACGGGAAGTCAGTGGACTGGTGGTCCTTTGGGGTGCTGCTCTACGAGATGCTGGCTGGGCAGGTGAGTGCAGAGCCAGGTGTGGCCACCAGGGGGCAGCAAAGGCCAGGCTAGAGGGCGTGTTCATGGTGGGGCATACGGGGGTGCTGGGGCAGGTGGGGGTGGCTGTCACTGGGTGGAGCATGGAGGGGGCGTGGGGGCTGGGGTGGGTCTGTGGAGGGCACAGGGCATACTCCCTGGGAGGGGTGTGATGTGGCTGTAGGATGCTGAAGGGGAAGGGGCTGGGTGGTGCCTTCTGGGGTGGGTGCCCAGGCCCTGTCTCTGCCTCATGCTTCCCCGCAGCCGCCGTTTGATGGTGAAGACGAGGACGAGTTGTTCCAGTCCATCATGGAGCACACTGTGTCCTACCCCAAGTCCCTGTCCCGTGAGGCCGTCTCCATCTGCAAGGGGGTGAGTGCTCCAAGCATGAGGGGTGGGGAAGCACTGGATGGAAGGATGGGGGGGCCAGCTGATGCACAGAGCCCTGGGGGTGGGGAATGTGGGCCTTGGTGCTGTTATACTGTCTCGGGTCCATGCGCCTATCTGCGCAGTTCCTGACGAAGCACCCCCTGAAGCGGCTGGGCGCAGGGCCCTCAGGGGAGCAGGACATCCGGGAGCATGGCTTCTTCCGTTGGCTGGACTGGGAGCGCCTGGAGCGGCTTGAGATCCCACCCCCCTTCACACCCCGCCCTGTGAGTGCCCCCTTGGCGCCTTGCCCTGTGCTCACTACGGCCCCTGTATTCTTCCACTGCCCTGTTGTGCTCTGCCCAGCAAGTGTTACCCTCTCCAGGAGTCCTCCCATGAACCCCTACCCCACCTCCCCCAAAGCCCCTCCTTGCCCCCTTCTTGCCTTACCCCTTGATAGTGCCTGTGGTTCCTGCCCCTACGCCTGCCCCTGCCCTCCTTCCCCAGCCTCCCAATGAGTAGCTGCAAGACCTCCCAGTCCCCTCATGGCCCCTTCACATGCTTCCCCATGGCCCCCACATCCCCCACCCCTCATGGCCCAGGAGAAGATGGGGGTCACACACAGGCTCTGCAGTGCCTGTGCACTTGCCCTCACCCCCCAGTGCCCCACTTCATGCCTCACCAGCTGCAGCATCCACAACCCCCCATGCCCCAGGACCTGCCCCCTAGCTCCCTTCATGCCCTGCTCCATGGGTCCCCACATCTCTGTGCCCTTCTTGGCTTCCTTCATGTCCTGCCCAGCAACCAACTGCCCCCCATGGCCCCAACCCTCTGACCCCAGCAGCCCATGCCTCTGAACCCCAGAGCCACTGGAGAATGGGGGCCTGAGGGAGACCTGGGAGGATGGGGAAACGGGAGTTTGGAAGCCCCACTAAGCCTGGCTTATCCCACCACACCTTGGAGAGGGGGCTCTGGGACCCTGAAGACAACCAGCTTCATCTTTGTTTAATCTTTTCCTCCATCTTTTTTCTCCCTCCCTCCCCGTCTGTCTGTCCATCTGTCTGCCCGTCCATCTCTCTTTCCACCTGTCTGTCTTCTCATTCATCCCTTGGTCTCTCTGTCTCTCTCCCTTGTCCAACTGCCTGCCTTTCCTCCTCCTTCTCTGTCTGTCCGCCCATTTTTCCATCTGTCTCCTGTTCCCCCACATCCCCCATCCGTGTGTCTGTCCGGCGGGCCGGGCGCAGTGTGGGAAGAATGGAGAGAACTTTGACAAGTTTTTCACACGGGCGGTGCCAGCACTGACGCCCCCTGACCAGCTGGTGCTGGCAGGGCTGGACCAGACCGAGTTTGAGGGCTTCAGCTACATTAACCCCGACTTCATGCACCCCTCGCTGCGCCCCCCCAGTTCCCCCATCTCACCTGTCTCCCTGGTGTGACCCTCCCGGCCCCACCCTGGCCCACCCGCCTGCCTCCAGCTGACCCTGCCTGCACTGTGCATGCCCAAATGCAGCTGCCTCTGGCGGGGGGCATGTTGGGGGCCTCTTGAAGAGCTGCACACAAGCAGTGCTCAGGGCTGCCTGGCCTCAGCTAGAATCAGCTTCTCTGCTTGACCCTGGTGGGTGGGGGGTGCAAGGATGGGAATGTGGGGCCCTGTGTCCCAGCCCCCACCCCCCAGCATGGCACCCCCCTGCTGAGCCCACCCCTCCAGCACAGTGCCCCCAGTGCCGGGGCCTGAGGGTAATGCCGCCTGCTATGCCCTGTCCTCCATGGCTTTGGCAACACCTGACCTAGGGGATGCTGTGCATTTGGGGTCAGCCCCTGCCTCCTCTGCCCTCCTCCCTTCCCATCAGGCCCCACAACCCCACACTTCTGCTCTGGCTAAATGGATGCTTTGAGCTACTGCTGCAGCGGGGGCTGGTTGCACCCTCTGACCCCGCATCCCTGGGTTCCACCACAGCTGTGAATCCAGAGTCCTGAGGAATCCCCTGGGCTGGGGAAGACTGCCTCCTGCTCCCAGCCCTCCACACCCCAAACCTCAGGGCTCATTTGGATGAGCTGAAGGGACCCTTGTGGGTTGTAGATCCATTCAGGGGGGGAGGGGCAGGATCCCTGGGTTTTCTCCAGGCTTGGTGGGGTGTGGGGTCTGGTTAGAGAGTGGGGCTGGGAGACAGGGCACTTTTGTTCTTCAGTGCCAGTGCTAGCAATAGAACCCAGGTGTCCAGCCCCACCCCCACTGCAGTGTCACAGGACCCCCTGGGGGTTGCATGTCCAGCTGTAAGCTGAGCCCCATCCTGCCCCATGAAGAAGTCCCCCAGAGTCCACCCTTTCCTTCCCCGCTGTTTCCAGCTACTGCACCGCGTTGTAAAGACCCCGATGGTCAACGCACTTCAGGATAAAAGAGTTTTGCCAACCAGCAGTGCCTCAGTCTGTCTGTCCATCTGTCCAACGCTGCTCCACTGCCAACTGGACTGGGGGAGGGAAGTGGGCTGCTGTGGTTACAGATGTGGGGGATGGGAGCCAGGACACTTGAGTAGGGGAGAGGAGGTCTAGTGGGTTAGAGCTGGGGGGAGGAGGCACAGGATGCCTCCATTCTGCCTCAGCTTTGCGGGAGGAGGGGATTCAATAGGGGAGAGGCGGGGATGCTGAGAGCCAGGACTTGGGGTCTGTTTCGACTTTGAGAGGGGAGTGGGCTAGAGCACTGGGGGCTGGGAGCCTGGATGCCTGGGTTCCAACCCAGCTGTGGGTGGGCTGGGGTCCAAGTCAAGGTTGGCAGCACTCCCTGCCCCCCAGCGCTCCTTGCCCCCTGGGGCTGAAGGCAAAAGCTTGCAGAAGGACTTTGATGAGGGGAAATACAGGAAACTATCCAGTCTGTGGCCTTTTCCTCCCAGGAATGCTGGCCCTGACTGGCCACAGAGCAGGGGCACTGGCAAGCTGGTGGAGGGGAGGGCAGGAACCTTTCTCCTGTAGAGGGCACCAGCCCCCCTCTGGCCCCAGATATCTTGAAATCATCCTTGGTGTGTGACCCATGTGTGCAATGAGTCGGTCAGGTCTCAGCTGCAGTGCCTGCACACAGACAGACCCCCCCACCCCCATTCTGTGCTGGGTAGGGGTCTAGCTGGCCGGGAGGGGACTGTGGGGAGGCTCTGTAGAGGGGGGCTCTGCTGGGTTGAGGGGGCTATGTATGGTGTTGGGAGGGTTGAGGAGGCAGCTTTGTGTGTGAGACTGGGGCTGTGAGGGAGGGGCTGGTGTGGGTGGGAGGTTTTTTGCATGGGGTGGATGGGTGGGGTGCTATATGGGGAGGGCCTCTGTGGGAGTGGGGTTTGAGGGTCCTGTGAGGGGAATGGTACTGTGGGGGGAGACCTGGAGAAATGCAGGAGGATGGGGGGAGGGGGGAGATCCTTGAGGGGTGGAGGGGCCTAGGAGGGTGTTTGAGTTTCCCAGTGACAAGCTGGAGGTTGGATGTGGAGGCACCTTGAGCAGAGGAGTCTATGGAGCACTGTGTGGGGGTGGGGGTCTACGTAGCAGGAGTGCGGGACTGGCGTGGAGGCCCATGGAGGTGGGGGAGTCAGTGCTGGGCATCAGGGCAGGGACAGCATGGGGAGGGGGACTCTGGCTGTAGAAGGAGCAAGGCCCCGTCAGGGGTGAGAGTGGGTACCTGTGAAGTGGGAGGGTAGGGAAGGGGATGGGGGGGTATTGAAGGGGGTTGTATATGGGGGGGCAGATATGAAGGGAAAGTGTGTGGGGTACAGCTTTGGGGCTCTGTGCTGGGAGATGGGGTTCTGAAGTGAGCTCTGGGCAAGGGGATTGTGAGGCCTCTCTGTGTTAGGGAAGCTGTGATTGGAGACCTACCCCCCACAGCTGCCCTCCATCTGGTTCTCCCCCATCCTGTTCCCCTCCAGTCAGTAATGGGGTGTCTCTGGTGCTGTCTGGAGGCTGACAGTGCAGCACAGCACAGAGCCATGGCATGTGAGGGTGGGGGGACACACTCCAGGGTGGGGGCTGGGGCGGTCGGTGGTGGAAAGAGAGACAAGGAGAGAAGAGTGCGCTCAGCACTTCAGGCCCTGCAGTGCTGAGCTACGGGATATGTAACACCCACCTTGGCCCTGGGGCTGGGACAGCAAGGGCTGCAGGCTGAGAGTGAGGGGGAGTCTAGTGCTGGCAGGCCCACTGTGGGTGAAAAGGAAGGGGCATTGCTCAAGGCTGGGGGGGCATAAGTGAGGAGCACGGGGAGGGCTGAAGGGAGCCAGGCCTGGGCTGGAGGCTGGGTGGAGATGAATCCCTCTTTGTCCTATATGTCCCCTCCATCAATGTTGCTGTCTCAGGGCTCAGGTTTCCTGGTGGTTCCATCCTTCTTCCCTCTGGCAGGCCAGGGACATGCTGGAGGTTGGCTGCAGAGACACCTTGAGCAGCTTGGGCTGCAAGGTAGGGAGCCCAGGGCTGCCTCTGCCATCAGGTTGGGGCCCTGGTGTTTGCAGGAGACCCCAGGGCTCCCCAGCATCTAGCCCTCCCCACACCTGGAGAGACAGGGCGCTGCTAATGCCCTGCCCTGTAGCTGTGAGCCAGGTGTTGGTTCCAGTTTGGAAGACCCCAGCAGAGGACCGTGCCCTGTGCACAGAGAAAAGAGACACCCCCCAGCCTGTGTCAGGTCTCCTCTGCCTCAAGCCAGGCAACTGGCACGACCCCGAGTGGAAGAACAAGACCCTTCAGCCAGTGCCTCTGAGGGAGCCTCTGTTGCCCGGGGCCTGGGCAGTACCTGGTGCAATGGGCCCCTGTCTCACTGGTTTGCAGCACTTGTGCTAGGCAGAGGTGCCTCTAACCCATCATTTCCAAGATCCTCATCTTGGAAGCTGGGGCTGGGGTGAGGGTGGGAGTGGGCAGGGCTCTCCACCCCATGCACCAGGAGAGAAGGTGGGTTCTTGAAGCCACCTCCAGCCCATGGGGGGCTCCAGTTCCCTGCTACCTCGTTCCCAGGCCCCAAGTGGAACCTCAAAGTCCGGTGGGGGTGGGGGGTAATCTCCTCCAGCAGCAGGACCTGGACAAGTGGCTCGGCGGGATGCAGAATTTAAGGGGTGGGTGGTGGTGGGGAGGAGGGGGGT